GGAACCGGGTCGGTTCTGGCGGTGGAACCGGGTCGGTTCTGGCGGTGGAACCGGGTCGGTTCTGTTAGCGGAACCGGGTCGGTTCTGTCTGTAGTTCTGTCGGTGGAACCGGGTCGGTTCTGGCGGTGGAACCGGGTCGGTTCTGTCGTTGGAACCGGGTCGGTTCTGGCGGTGGAACCGGTCAGACTGAACGTCGCAGATGTTGCTTCGTCTTATTGATGCTGGTTTGTTCTTCATCTCATCCAGAATCCTCCTCTTCCTCCTCGGGACGTTCTCCCTCCACTCGCTCCGCTGCTCCTCGCCCACCGAGCCATCGCCATGACGACGCAGACAGCCCCTCCCCTCAGGATTCGTCTCGGTCTCAGCGTCCTTCGCTCCCCAACCTCTCCTCCTCCTCTTCCCCCTCCTGCCCCTCCTCTGCCGCCTCCTCCCCCTCCGCTGGAATGAAACACTCCTCCTCTGCCCCTCCTCCTCCCCCCCTGTCTCGCCGTGGCAACGCCCCCTCCCCTCCCTCGTCATCCTACAACAGAGAAAAACCCCTCCCCCCCACACCAAACAACACCCCGCCGCTCCCCTCCAAACCTCCTCCGTCTCCTAGCAACAGCAGACGTCCCCCCACCTCTGGAGGAAACGCCCCCTCATCCGGCTCCACTCTGGCCCCGCCCCCTCCTCCGTACCGCGGTAACGGTCCAGCGTGTGGCGAGGCGGCGCCGGAGCTGCCGCAGCGACACAACTCCCTGAGCAACAAGAGGCCCGCCCCCTCACCTGGAGGCCACACCCCCACCAGAGGCCCCGCCCCCCCACCTCCTCCGGCGTCCCCCACACCGTCCCAGCATGCAGCTGGCCGGCCACCTCCCCCCATCCGAGAGCCTCCTGGCAGAGCAGCAGGTAAGCTCCTCCCTTTGTGACATCATAGCCTTCAGCCAATCACTGATCTCCTTCAAACAGGAAGTGGTTGATCACCTGTCTGTCTCTGCAGCTCCTCCGGTTCCAGCTCCTCCCTCATCATCATCGTCATCCAGGGCAGGTGGCAGAGAAGCTCCGCCTCCTCCTCCTTACAGGACACACGGTAGCCCCTCCCTCTCCTCCGACCCCCCCTCCAGAGGGAAACCTCCTCCCCCGCCCTCCCGCACCCCAGCTGCTCCTCCCCCGCCTCCCCCTCCTCTCCGTAACGGACACCCGTCCTCTTCCTCCGCCCCGCGGTCGTTTGTGGGTGAGTCTGTACCTCATTGCTCCTCCCCCCTCCTCCCCCGCCCTGTGGGAGCTGGTTTTCCTTTAGATGAACAGAACCGAGCTCACCCCCCCGTTTCTCCCTCTGCAGACGACTTTGAGTCCAGATACTCCTTCCATCCTCTGGACGACTTCCCTCCGCCGGACGAGTACCGACACTTCACCAAGATCTACCCCAGCAAAGCCAGCAGAGGTACGACTCAACGGCGCCGGCGGCCATGTTTTCCCAGAAAGCTGCAGGGTCACCATCAGCAGACCTCAGTCCTCCATCTTCTCCTGTTTTCCTCCTTTGGGTTTAGTTCAGCGTTTTGTCAGAGGTCTGATGGTGAATGCTGATTGGTCAGCAGCTGAGGAGCCTCCAGGATTGGCTGACAGGTGGAGCCGCATCACTTAGTGATTAATCAGAGCTTCAGCGCCTCTCGCCTGCAGACAGATGGAGGCACCATAACGACCCCATAAAATGGATAGATAATTAATTATTCAAATAATCAAATAATTCAGTAACTGATTAATCGTTGAGTATAGATTCTAAAGCAGACGCACTGAGAGCAAGAATTAAAAGTTTTAGTTTCATCTGATTTTATTTCGGATAAATTAAGGAACCTTTTGCGATCAGATTTTTGATCGATTAATCGATTAGCTGAATGATATTAGCAGCCGTAGCATCAGTTACTCATCCAGAACCAGGCGGTTCCCGGCCGCCTTGGGAATGTCGGACTGATTCGGCTCGGCTGCCTAACGGGTCGGTTCTGTTCCATTGGGAACTCCCCCCATCCACACCATGATGCTACCTCCACCGTGCCTTCTGGTTTTCCTCAGGTGTGTCCAATCGGTTTTCTGTTGGGACCTCTAGAACATTTTGGGAGGGGGGTATTAAACTGGTCTTACTGGTTTCCGCCCATCGATTGATCCGATCTTTGGTTTTTGGTCGTTCCTGAACATCCATCCATCTGGGGTCGGATCTGTTGATCCGGTTCTGTCTCCTGATTGGCTGCTGAGCTCTTCTCTGTTCTCATTTCAGTGATGAGGGGCGCTCCTCCTCTTCCTCCTGTGGGCAGGTGAAGCTCCAGCTCCTCCCGTCTCCAACCAGCTTCTTCATCCTGTTCGTCCATCTCCACCTCATCTACGCTCATAGCTGATTGGCTGAGGAGATGCCGCCAGATCGACCAATCAGAGAGGCCTCGTGGACGAGTCGGATCCACCGAGCGAAGCGTCTTCCTCCATCTTTGATTTACCTTTGTGGCTGCGCTTTTAGTTCTGACGAGGTGGCAGCGGTTCTGGGACCCGATGAAGACGGGTGGATCCAGACGGTTCCGAAGGCTTCAGGCGGCGGATCCAGACAAAACTAAACGACTAATGATGAAACGGAATCTTTAATCATTAATCAGCCGGGTCTGGTTCTGGAGCTGCTGGGTCCAGAACTTGACTGAGATCCGTTCCTCCGGAGCATGAAGGTCCAGAAACCTGTAAATATTCACCTTCATCGTCTTCATCAGCCGACCCGGCGCTTCCTGAGCGGGTCGGTTCTGAAAGTGCCAATACGGACCGAGGACGCCTACAGAACCTCCGCTGATCGACTCGCTCCATAACGGTTCGGCTTCCGCAGATGGTTCCTGAGAAGCTGCTGACTTAACAGATGGTTGCTATGGTTACCTTCTGTTAGACCCACACGTCCATCTTTACGAGTCGGTTTCCTGTCAAACGGGGACGGATGGCTCCGGTTCTGGAGGCCCGTTGAGCAGAACCCTCTGGTCCAGTTTCTCCAGAACCATCCAGTGGGCGTGTCTTTCTGCCTCCAGGGCTCTGATTGGTCAGAGGGAGACAGGGAGGCCAACGATTGGACGGAGAAACCCAGAAGGTTCTGAATATCTCATACTCTGAGCCGAACATTCGACAGACCCGGTTCCACGTGGAATGGTGGTTCTGATGGAAAGGATGCTGAGCAGTGCAGGTCCAAGCAGAACCGCGTTCTGGTTCTGGTACCATCTAAGGAGGGCTAAGACACCCAAATGAAAGAGGAAAGTTTGCTCTGGGTTCTGAACAGAAGTTCTGTTACGAAGACAAATGGGTCGAACCGAAAGGTTTTGAAGTCCAAAAACATCAGATTGAAACCAGATGAGGAGAAGATGGAACCGTTTGGACCTCGGTACCGGTCCAAACACCGACACTGGGCCTGACATCGGTTCTGGTTGCAGGAGGAATGAGAGTTTAGCTTTGAGCTGGTTTTAACCCGGTTCTGATCTAACTGGACTGTTCCCGGTCCGGTCCAGTTCCTCCTCCTTTCAGTGGTTCCAGAACTGGATCGGCTGCAGTGCTGACCCGGTTCTGATGGCCTCTAGCCATCCTGCAGCTTCAGCACTGGGACCAGTTCAGCTGGTTTCACTGGTCTGTGAATAAAACTCTGGATCCGGTGGATTGTGGACCTTGTGACGGGCAGCGGCACCAGCTGGAAGCTGCAGAGGTTCTGATGTGGGGTTCTGTTTGTGCTAAATGTTGTGAGCTAATATCTGCATCCATTCACTGATCAGCGGTTTATAATCCTGCTGGTTCAGATCTAACCGTAACTAACCAGTAACGCTAACCAGTAACGCTAACCAGTAACGCTCCTCATCAGCCGAAGCGCCGCCTGGTTCGCTTCTTAATGGTCGCCTCATCAGGAAGGATGGCTGAAGGCTGCATGGAGGTTTAAAAATTCTGCTTTTGGTGACAATAAAATATATCAAACCACTTTTTTCTCATTTTGTCCCATTTTAGCTACAAACTTCAGAAACATGAAGGTTTTCTGTGCGATAAGTAAGGAAAGGCTCAACCATCTGGGTTCTGTCTGCACCGACGCCCCAAAATAAAAGCAACAGAGCCAGAAACTGATTCTGTTCTGAGATCAGAAGGTCAGACAGGAAGTTCTGGTTCCGTTTACAGCCTGTTTGGGTTCTTAAACGATGTCGGTGATCCTCTGCTCTTCTGATTCATCCAGACAGCAGCGCCATCTGCTGACGACTGATCTCTATTTATTCACTGGTTTGCTGATTGGCCGAAAAAAGTAAAGCCACTGTCCGCCATCTTGGTACTCCCCACTCCCACAGAGACGTGCAGTAGAACTGCCTCCCTGTGCAGCATTTGGCTGCTAAAACCAGCAGTTTTCTGGCTGTAGCTGTAACTAAGCAATAAATCCATCTATAGCCGATGGATCCTATAGTTTAGTCTGTAGACTAACATTAGTCTCAGACTGACGTGAAGACATTGACTGAGTTAGACGCCGACATTGGGTCTAACATTAGGAAATAGAAAGTAATTCACTGGGAAATGTCAGTTCAATCCAGTTTATTTCTATAGCTCCAATTCACATCATGTCATCTCAGGTCACTTTCCAGTTCACCAGATCATCCAGTCAGATTGATTCAAAGTTTCTATCTAAGGAAAACCAGCTGATTGCATCGACTCATTGACTCTTCAGCAATCCCTCACACTAAGCATGCTTGTAGCGACAGTGGAGAGGAAAAACTCCCTTTGAACAGGAAGAAACCTCCAGCAGAACCAGGCTCAGTGTGAGCGACCATCTGCTGAGGCCCACTGGGGTTCAAGGAGACAGAAGCAGACATAGAAAAAGAAGCATAGATACAAAAGGCAACTGTCAACCAGCTCCACAGGCGGCCCCGTCCAGGAAACACACAGCCAGGCAGACGAGCTCCGAGCCAGCTCCCATGTCAGAGGATGAAGAGAGCACATCCAGTTAGTCACAGTCAGAGAAACAGGACTACACTGGAAAACAGGCCAAGCTCCAACATCTAGAAACAAAGGTGTTGATGGCAGCAGCACAGCTGATATTTCTCTCCAGGATGGAGTCACAGCCAAACAGGAACAGACCAGATGAAGCTACTATGAGAAAAAGCAGAGAGAGCAGAACGTTAGAGATTGAACTAACAGATTCTGCAGAGTGGGAGAATAGAGATAGAATGAAGCAGAATGATGACAAAGGGGTCCCTATGTCCTCCAGCAGTCTAAGCCTATAGCAGCAGAACTATAGAGATAGCTCAGGATAACCTGAGCCACTCTAACTAGAAGCTTTATCAAAAAGGAAAGTTTTAAGCCTAGCCTTAAAAGTAGACAGGGTGTCTGCCTCACGGACTAAAACTGGTACTTGGTTCCACAGGAGAGGAGCCTGATAACTAAAAGATCTGCCTCCCATTCTACTATTAGAAATTCTAGGAACCACTAGTAAACCTGCAGATTGAGAGCAAAGAGAGTAAAAAGTTAGTCTGCCTGTTCCTGCTGTAAAATGATGAATTAGGCCCAGAAATAACATTTAATTTCTCATTATTTTCTTTATTAAAAATAAAAATTATTTTTATTTTCCATATAATCAGCTCCTGATTAGTTAAACCAGACAGAAAATGAAGATAAAGTTCATTGTTTCCAGTTTCCTTCAGTAAGCTGCAGTTCTCTGTCTGACCGCTTGGTGGCAGACTTGTATTTGCCTTCTCGTTCTAGATTTCTTGTCCCCGGAAATACGTCATCGTGGTGAAGCGGAAAAACAGATCCAGCCCATGAGGGTTAGAAATATCTGCTAGAATCCAGCTTTTCTTTCTCCTGCGGCTTTTAAATTTGCGGCTTTCTGTGGGAAGACATGGAGGGCACTGACGTAATCAAACTTCCACTGACCGTGGATAAAAAGTCTCTTAACAAGAGGAGCAGATCTCCGACGTTGGACCCGGAGGGAGAGGAGCAACTGCGGCGGCAGAACGTGAAGAAGCTGGCGGTTCTGGGAGAGGAGGACGGCTCGGTGAAGCAGCTGGAGACGCTGGTGTTCGGGACGGAGGACGACCTGCTGGACAAGCTGCTGGAGGTCAGACCGGAAGCCCTTAAATGGCCTTTTACACATCAAAGTAGCGACCAGTTAAAAGTAGTGATGGTTAATGAGGCGTCTTGATTCGCTCTGAGAAATACTGACACCTGCTGGACATTTAAAGAAACTGCAGGCAGCTGATTGGACAGAGTAAAACTGAATTAATTTGATGACCTAGAACAATGATATCTAAGTTATTGGAGGTTATATTGTATTATTTATATATATTTTAATATTTTTGATGTTTTTAGATGCAGCCAATAAATAATGTGAACATATAATGTGAAAATTTAGGGGAAAATGTGAATGAGGATGCTGCTGGACCAGGATTTTAAATCAGAATTTTAAAACGATAAGTGCAGTAAAAACAGTAAATAAACTAAGAGTCAATTTGAAATGAACTTTAATTCATATAAGCTGAGTGATAACTGGGAGGAAAAGGATGAAACAAAGAGAAAATTAAAATAAAAACGGCTGAATCGTCCTTATTATTGTTAATTTTAATGATAAACTGTAAAAGATGGGATTTTAAAACACTTTAAACTATAAAACGAAAGGCTGAAACCATCCCTGACATGGATGCAGACAGAGACGACTGGAATAGGAAGCTAATTTTACCAAATATGGTCATTTTCCTGACTTTGCCCAGCATCTTTAGTTGCTGTTGAACTATTGCATAAAGCAAACACTGACCTTTGACCTCTTAAAGTAGTGATGGTGAGATGAAACCTAATTGAACTATTTTGGCCAAATTGCATCAATGATCCCCACAGTTCATGAAGCTTCGTGTGAACATGTCACCACCTACTGGTGGAGAGCAGAATTACAGTTGGTTATATGATCTATGATTTTGTAAATTGAAATGCTTGGTCTTTATAATAAAATCTTTAGTAATTTTTTTTAGTGTAAAAGAAAGAGAAAAATCATTTAAGGTTCACTGTTTTTCTGCCATTGTAGTGAAATAAGCTCAAGCAGTGAAAGTGTTTGTGCAAAATAATGATAAAATGAAAGGTTTTAGTCATTTTTGTTTAAACATAGTTTTTCCACAGTTTTTGGTTCTAAACGGGTCGGAAGTTATGTTTTCAACCAGTCTTTTGGTTAAACCAACCAATCTAATTTTTGTGTTTTTACCAATCCACCTTTGTACCTGTGCAAATAATACAAATTAGTCACATTGCCCAAAATAATTAAGTTTTATCGCAACTTTCAAAAGATGATGATGTGTGTGTATATAAATAAACTGAATTAAATCAAATGCCTGTCGAAGTTCCGGGCGATTCGAACCACTTCCTGAAGTGATTACACGCTTTGGCTTCTGACGTCGTCGATTCTGGCTCCTCCCCTAAAAGAATCACGCCTCAATACGCGCCTCGCAGAAACGCCCCCTCCGTTACTCGACATGCCCCGAAGCTTCGGCTCATCTCATGACATCACTACCTTTTACACATCAAAGGTTTTCCTGCTTTTAAAGACGTTGAGCCTCCCGTCATCAGCTGTGATGTTCGGTGTCTCTCCTGAACTCTAAAGATTCAGATGTTTCCTGATGTTGCAGGAGGAGGATGAGGAGCAGACCAGCTGTTTGCTGCTGGACAACGAAGTGGGGGGGGATGAAGACTCTGAGGGGGACGAAGAGCCGCGTCAGCAGCTGGAGTCCAGGAAAGCCGCCTGGGTGGACGAAGACGACGAGCTGGAGGAAGAGTCCGTCCCCGCCGCCAAGCATCTTCATCCTTCTGTTTTCACCTGTGAACCGTTCAGCAGTGTCCCTCTCTGTCTCTCTCAGGGTGGACATGAGGCACCGTTTCCGTAGAAACCTGATGAAAGGAGAAGCAGAGACCATCATGTCCAAACAGAAGCTGCAGCAGAGGATGAAGGAGCAGTGAGTTACCAGAACCCACCACAGCGTTTCTCCTTTAGCCCTGCGGGGAGCTTCCAGGCTGCTGCTGCTACCGAGTCGACCCAACGACTCGGTGACCTTTGATCTGCTAAAGTAATGTTGTCTCTAAAGGTTCACGATTAAAACTGCTCTGTTAGCGAGTTTTAAACATGTCCGCTGGAAGATGAAACACATGAGAGCGAGAACGGTTCCCTGTGGAACTCCTGGAGACGTTTCATCTGAGAAGCAAACTTTGGTTTCAGGTTCCAGAAGTCGATGGGCGGGACTCCATCCTGGGCTCAGAGCAGCCGACAGAAACTCAAGAAGAAGAAGAAAGGTGAGTCCAGCAGACGCTCCTGTAACCATAGACATTATAAACATAGAAGCCTCATTGGACGCTGGCCAGCGTGCATGGAGGGCGGCCATCTTGGATCAGACCACAGTTCAGTCGGCTGCTGTCAGAATGAATAGGAGGCGACTTAGATAAACGTAGAGTCAGAGATAATATTACAATAACCTGTTCCATGTCAGAAACCTGGATGAGATTTATTCAGTTATATATTTTGCTATTAAATATTAATATGATAAACAAAAAGCTTTAGATTGACAGAGGGGCGGAGTCCAGCCCGGACAGGCCCGGGTCCATCGATCACAGGGCAACACAGAGACAAACAGGACAAACAACCATTCACTCACACCTAAGGAGGATTTAGAGAAGCCAATTAGCCTAACAGGCATGGTTTAGGACTGTGGGGGGAAGCTGGAGTACCCGGAGAGAACCCACACATGCTCAGGGAGAACATGCAGACTCCATACAGTAAGACCCCGGGCTGGGAATCGAACCCAGAACCTTCCAGCTGCAAAGTAGCAGTGCTACCCCCACTGCTCCACTGAGCAGCCAGATTATGTGTATTATATTATTTTAAAGATCTGACAAAAAATTTATATAAAGATAAAAATAACATAAAATAAATAAAATAAAATTCCTCTATAGAAATATACCAAATAAGAATAGTGATATACTATATAAATATATATTTGTAAAACATAACATTATAAAGTATTCATATAAAACTGTTTATCATATTAATATTTAATTGCAAACTTTGCATAAATTTCATCCAGTTTGAGTTCAGTTTAGTTTTTAATCTGAATAAATCTGT